AATCTGGTGTATTATAAGATCATGAATGGAAAATGCATTCTTCTCATATCCCATTTCCAAACCTACTAATAGTGGATGATTGGAACACCCTTTCTAGAAAATCTCTGAGGCCAGCTCTGGGTTCAGTGGGAAAAAGTACTAAAGTAATAACAATAATTCCCTATTTAAAAAGTATGCAATTTAAATTTAGTGTTTTATTTCCTATTGATCAAAGCAACCAAAATATAATACAAATTTTTATAATAACAATACAAAGATTAATAGCTAAATTTTATTGAATGGATTCTGTGCTGGGCTGCACAACTCCCTTTATGTGATATAGCTCGTGCAGTCTTCATTGTGATATAGGCCCCTTGTACCATGGTCTAGAGGAAGTATGTAAGATTTGACAATTTACTGATTTTTAAATGAAAGCTGATTTTTAAAAATGAATCTATCCCAATCTATTATGGTCAGATTTCACAGGTAATGAGTGTAAAGACTCCCAGCTTGTGTCTCACTTGATGAACTGCAAGGAAGGAAGAGTAGCTGTTTCACCATTTGTTTGTCTCTCTGGGAACTCTGACTGTGATCTGCTTCAACCAGACACTCCAAACCATGTAAGTGAACAAGGGGGTTTAATAATGAAATGTGTTTAAGGAAAAAATGTATTTATACTTCTAGGCAGCTTAGAAGGGTCTTCAATTTCCAAAATTGAAAAGATAAACAAACATACAGGTGTATCAGCAGAAATATCCAGGAAATGGTGCTCTGAGGCCAGTAAGATTTCAGTTTCTCAGACTTGGCCTGAGGGACCTTGCTCTATCATAGAGAATGCCCAAGCACCACTACTTTTCTTCCACCTTTGAAGACTACAGAAATTGACACCAGTTTGCTGTGGGAATAGCACGTAAAACCATCATCAAGCTTTCTCAGTACTGCTGTAAACACTGTAAACATCATTTGTGCTTTGGTTTATTAATGTCTAAAGTGGAGAGCAAAGAACATTTGGAAGATCCTGGATGATCCATTTGAATGTTGGAATAAACTTGTAGAAATTTAATGTACATTTTAATACAAAATTTGAGAAAGAAAATAAGCTTTATTACATTTGATGTGAGGGTACTTCAGAAAGTTCGTGGAAAAATAGAATTGAAAGATAATACAAATATTTCCATGAACTTCTGAATGTAACTTTGTATTATGGATTGACACTGGTGTTTCAACTCCATTTTATTCCAAAATCAAATAGTCTTCTATCATGTAAGGCAGCCCTATATCACTTAAAATAATTTTGAAAAACTGCATATACCCTGGTGCATTTTAAATGGACACATCCAGGGCCGGGCCGGTGGCGCACTGGAGAGTGCGCCGCTTGGGAGTGCGGCGGCACTACCGCCGAGGGTTCGGATCCCATGTGGAGACCGGTTCCCGCTCACTGGCTGAGCATGGTGCGGGCGCAACACCGAGGGTTGCGATCCCGTTGCCGGTCCCCGGTACGGGCGCGACACCGAGGGTTGCAATCCCGTTACCGGTCAGTAAAAAAGACAAAAAGGAAAAAAAATTTAAAAATAAACAAATAAATAAATAAATGGACACATCCATTTTTTATCCTAATTTTAAATAGCTTCTAATGATACAGTTTCCAGTTTCAGATGAATGTTGATGTGTTAAAATTACATCTTTTATATTTGTATAAAGTGGAACATAAACACCAAGGTGTTTTCATACCCATGGTCATCAACTAAATCAAGAATAAACATTTTTTAAATTAGGATTTAAAATTTTGCATAGTTCTCTTTCTCGAACCAGCATTTTTTTTTCTGCATTTCCCCACATAATTTTATCTTAAGGTAATAAATTTTTACCATGCAGTTCCTCTATGTATCATACATAGCTAAAATAACAACCTGGTTTGAATTTAATGTTTATTTCCTGTTGATCACGGCAACTTAAATAGAATACAAATTTTGGTAAGAACTTACTAAAAATAAATATTATATATTAGAAATGCATATCTTAGTGAGATGAATTTTTTTTAAAAAGTAGTCTTTATAACTATGGATGAATATTACTTATTTCTAGAATGAGACAGGGCTTCAGAATCAATTCTTAATGTGAATGCTGAGAAATCTTGTTCAAATAGATATATGGCTGGTGATGGAGTCTGGATGTGTTGTCCCCTCCAAAACTCATGTGGAAATTTGATCTCCAGTGTGGCAGTGTTGGAAACTGATTGAGTCATGGGGGCGGATCCCTCATGAATGGATTAATGCTCTCCCTGGGGGCAGGGGGATTAATGAGTGAGTTCTCGCTCTATTCATTCCCACGAGAGCTGGTTGTTTATAGGACCCTGGCGCCTCTCTCTTGCTTCCTCTCGCCATGTGATCTGCTTGTACCTGCCACGGGCTGCCTGCCACTTTCTGCCATGAGTAGAAGCAGCTTGAGGCTCATGCCAGATGCAGNGAGGCTCATGACAGATGCAGCTGTCCCAGAATCGTAAGCCAAATAAACCTCCATTCTTTATAAATTACCCAGTTTCAGGTATTTCTGATATAACAACACAAAACGGACTAATACAGCTGGTAATGGGAAAACTTTTGTAATACTTTTTAAAATTTGTTACACAATTCTTTGAACTTCATCTGGGCTACATGCCCCAAATCACCTAGCAATCTATCTTCAAAATATATTTTTTAATGTTCTCTTAATTAACTACTTGATGGGATCCACCTTTGATTTTGTTGAAGTCACATAATTGGAGACAACCTAATTTGGAAAAGGTTTTTTTTGTTTGTTTGTTTGTTTTACTCAGTCTTTATAGTCATCAGTTCTCTTATTGGAAAGCAATATTGACTTTTTTGTTACCCTGTACATCTTCAAGACCCAAGAAAAGTAACATAGTAAGTGAGAAGAGGGCTTTTTGTTTTAGAAAGTGAGAAAAAAGCATACATGAAGGAAGACCTCTCAACTTAGGTAACTTCCCAAGCAGATCAATTTTAGGAAAGTATACATACGGAAGTTGAAGATCTGGAAATGACTTTGTGCAATTATCTATGTCTGCATTCCCATTAGGAAATTTCCGCATTGGCCACCCCTACAACCCTCCAGGGTACATATACCATAATGGAAAGCTTACAAAGCACATTGGGGTTAAAGTGGGAGTGGCATAATGTGGTGGTGGTGATAGCACAGATTCACTTGCTTATTCACTTTTGGTTATTGACATATATTACGATTTTTGTGTGCCTACCCAGGGCATTTACCAATACGTAATTTGACTGAATTAACTCTCAAAAAAATGAACGTTTAGTATAAAATTATTACTGAAAAGTAAATGTAGATTAAAACTAATTCAAATCATGAAGGTATAAATAAGCACTATGAATATGACAGATTTTCTTTTAAGAAGCTCTTACAAGAGCTTTCAAGGTTTTTAAAAAGACTATTTAACCATATCTGAGATGTCAGCCTCCAAACTAAGAATTATCCAATTATTTTAAATCTATATTTTTATATACTGTTATAAATGATGTTTGACCCATGTAAATATGCATTTTATCTTGATATATTAGCCAGCGATAGTATGAAGCTACAATGATTAAGGTAATTGTTAATTATTTTTAAATTAATATTTAGATTAATAACATAATAATAATGATGACTGGAGTAGAAAAAGTTTTTGTACTATTAATAATATGAAATAAAACATACTTTAAATATTACATAATTTGTTTGTATCATCCTTTTCTTTTTTCTTTTTTCTTTTCCTTTTTGTCTTTTTTACTGACCGGTAATGGGATCGCAACCCTCGGTGTTGCGCCCACACCACGCTCAGCCAGTGAGCGGGAACTGGTCTCCACATGGGATCTGAACCCTCGGTGGGAGCGCCGCCGCGCTCCCAAGCGGTGCACTCTCCAGCGCGCCACCGGGCCGGCCCTGTATCATCCTTTTCTAATATTCATTTGGTCTATAGCTATTAGAATAAAGCTCCTTTTTTTCTTTTTTTCTTTTTTTTTTTATTAATAAGGTGTGTGGTTAAAAAACAGATGAAGACCATTGCTCCAGATCCTGTATGGAATCCTATTAGACTAGTTCTGTAGTTTACTCCAGTCTGAGTGGTGTCTTATAATGTACTGCGTTTGAAGAATGTGGAATAGTGGGAATCTGGCATATGAATAATAAAGAACTGCACTTTAGCTTATAGACTCAATAATTTTATCTTTATGATTACAAGCAACTAATTACTTATGTAAGAGATTTGTAGCTAACCACACTGAAAAAAATACATTAATTGTTAAGTATTATAATTTCCTTTTCTATCTATTATATAATTAATTCATATTATGGACAGTATATACCATTGACTTTTGTTTCCTTTCCACTGCAAGTTTTTCATGGGTTTTGAAGGGGCACTGATACAGTTATAATAGGACATAATGTCTGTATCTTATTGCTACACAATTATCATTTGGAAGAGACCTTTAATTCACAGGGCATGAACTGAATCAGACTCACAGCTGCTTCTGATGGTGTTCTAGAGAGAAGGGGCTGGTTCTATGTTGAAGCAACCTGCACTGGTGAATATTTACTGAGCGTTGCTTGATGGTAACATGCGCTTTGCCTTACCCAACTCATTTTATACAAACCTATTTTACTAATGTAAATTATAATCTCTTAAAATTATTTTACTTTCATTATTTATTACATTTTAATGTAATACTAAATATGCATACATATATATCTTTATATAGTATATAGATAAGCTAGAAAGCATTAAACTAAAATTAACACCCATGAACTGAGGACCCATGTGTTCCTCCGTCGTTTCATTTTCTTGTCTCCCCTCTTCCCCCAGGTTAATCAACTATCTTAAACTTTGTGTTTTTCATTCTCCTCTTAAAAGTTTTTGTGTTCCAAATATCACTTTTGTTTGTTTATTTGTTTGCTTTTGAATTTTCTTAAAGTGAAGTATTACTTACTGCAGTCTCTTGGAAGTTTCTTTTTTGTTTTGTTCTTTTGTGGGTTTTTTTTTTTTTTTTGATTCAATGCTGTGCTCCTAAGATTCATTCATGTTGTGAAGTGAAACCCTATTTTATGTTTACTGCTTGATAATATTTCATCCTGTGAATATGAAACAATCTGTTTATTTATTCTTTTGTTAATAAGTGTTTGTGTTTGTTTCTAGTCATCGCTGTTACTAACAGGGTTGCTATGAACACCTGGTGCACATGTCAATCGTTTCTCTTGGGGATAGCTTTTCTGGGTTAAAAGGATTTTCTTGATCATAAGAATATTTAAATATTTAACTTTCCAAGCTACTAACAATTCCTTTCAGAAAGTAGTTGTATTAATTTACACTCTCACTAGAGTATGCTAGAGTTCTTATTGACCCCATAAAGTATAGTTTCAAAACATTAACAGACATAGAAAACTATTTATGTGCTTTCTTCCTCTTTTTATTTTCCTTCTCTTCATCCCTTCCTCTTCCCCCTCCTTTTTATTCAGATAATTGGGTTCCAACGATTTTTAGAGGTGTTCAGTTGAATTTTTTTTCTTGTGAAATACAAGCCTCTAGATCCGTGATATTCTGTTTATAAAGGAATTCCCTGCACCTATAAAGACAATGATAAAATTCTGTTAGCTTTTCTTTCTTACTGAGTCTTGCTGTTTTCTAGAGCTGGATGGTAGAATTGCCATCAGTATGCCGTGGAGGCCAACATTTTCATAGGTGGAGCTACGCTATTCTCTAGACCTGCTTAGCGTGGCACCACCACAGTGTGTGTGAAAGACACCCTGTTCCATCACCACGAAGAATGGGTTTTAAAAACATTGATAAGGGGAGTAACTACAAAACACAATCCAAGGGGCCTTCAAAAAGTTTGTGGAAAAATTCATATTAGCTTTATTCCATTTTTTCATGAACTTTTTGAAATACTCTTGTACAAGAAATTATAAACTGTCTTTACATATAAACAACAAATTAAGAAGAGTTGTATTTCTTTAGGTCATTCTACGTACAATTGGTATTGATCACACTCAAGCTCCTGTGCTGCAGTCACAGAAATTTGATAGCCGTGGAAGAAGATTATCACTTAATGCTTATGCGCTTGATTTCTACAAACACGGTTCATTGATAGGATTAGTCCAGGATAACAAGTATGTTTTCTCTCTCTTTCCTTCTTTCTCTTTCTCTCTCCCTTCCTCTCCATTTCCATCCCTATATATAACCAATGAATTTAATGGATATTAAGAAAAAATCCTTTTTATAGTTTAAAGTATATGTTACTCATACTAAATATACTGGATTTTTTTCTTAGAGACTAATGGCAAGAGAGAATAACAAACTGTACTATTTTCATTTGTGATTTACAAGCAAAATCTTGATGCTTAGGCCAGCTCACTTGACATAAAAATATACTCTAAAGATACAAATGTTTGCATGTGCTCACAGATAAATTTTATTTATTGGCATCCTATTTATTCATTATTAGATATTTTAAAACCAAGTAACAAATAATGACAAATAATGCCATGCTCGCCAATGTTTGAGAGGAGTATAGTCGGACCTCTGTATCCATAGGTTTTGAATCTCTTGATTCAAACAACCTTGGATTGAAAATGTTTTTAAAAATATGGATGGTTGTGTCCATACTGAACATGCACATACTTTTTTTCTTGTCATTATTTTCTGAACAATACAGTAAAACAACTATGTACATAGCATTTGCATTGTTTTAGGTATTATAAATAATCTAGAAATAATTTAAAGTATATGAGGGGATTTGCCTAGGTTATATGCAAATACAATGCTATTTTATATCAGGGACTTGAGCATCCATAGATTTTGGAATCAATGGAGGGTCCTGGAGCCAATCCCCCATGGATACCATGGGAGGACTGTATATACTTCGCCCATCTGAGGACTGAGTACATGACAATTACTTTAGAATTACTATTTTCAAAAATAGTAAGCAGGGATAAACAAACTTGGATTTACCTGGGAATAGAGAAATTGATTTGGGCACTGAGTATGTAGATGTGTTGAGGGGTGTTCTGTCATAACAAAGCAGGAATTTAATTTATATTTTACATAAAATTTTCAATGATGCTTATTGGATTAAGATACAGTCAAGCACCCCTTAACGATGGGATAGGTCCTGAGAAATGAGTTGTCAGGTGATTTCATTGTTGTGCAAATATCATAAGGTGTACTTACTCAGACCTAGAGGGTATAGCCTATTACACACCTAGGCAATGTAGTATAGCCATTATAACCTCATGGGACCACTGTCGTATATACAGTTTGTTGACTGCAACATCGTTATGCAGCATATGACTGTACTCATATATAAAAATTTTGATTCTCCAGGAAAGTCGAGCTTTGTTTTTTTTCCTGTTTTTTGTTTTTTAAATCTGACTCATTATTGTGAATAAGGTAGCTGTGACATTAGTAAATAACACATGTGGCTTTTCCTTTTCGATTCTCTAGTTCCCATTCACTCTCCTGAGCTTTACTTTTCTATTTTGGTTTTCTCCTGAGATGGTCAGCTTCCTGTGTTTATTGATTATTTGTGGCTGTGATATTTCACCTTTTGAAGGTGAATCATCACTTCCATAGACTCATCAATACCATCATCAGAGAGTCTGTGGCAGAAATGATTCTGGTAAATATGTCTTGACAGACGAAAGTAACCTATTATTGAGAAATCCAACATTAACATATAAAATCTCTTTACTATTTTTGTACCATTAATTTTTACATGTTGTTTTATTTAGGATGAATGAAGGAGAAGCTTACCTTTTGTTGAAAGATTTTGCACTCACCATTGAAGCTATCAGGTGTGTTAAATATTTAAATATTGATTTCAGATTTTTCAATACTTTAATTGTAATTTGAAAATGTTTCATTCTTACTGTGAGCCAGGTACTTGAAGGTGCCATTGAGCCTCTTAGGTGCTATGCATTTCAACTCACCAAAGGCTCTGCAGAACTTCTCTTCAACACCATGTTGCATTGTTTCTATAATAGAATTAATTCCAAAATCCATTTGAGATTAAGCTCCATCCAGACTACAGTCTCAGGCTCAGACACCATTCACCAACAGACAGCAATTTTCCAAAGCCCCAGTGACCCCTAGACCCTAGTACTCTCAATTGCCACAAGCAGTATGTGTCAGATACATGTTATTTCAGGTGGACCCTTAGGGCTCCATCAGGTCTCTGGTTTATATCCACTTACATACCCTTAAATCTCTTGCTTTATCCAGTGTTTTTTCCAGGCTTTACCTAACTCTGATTTCTCATATTGGCTTCCTGTTTTCATCTTTAAGAGAACCCACTAGGAACCTACACAATACCAAACTCTATATGGATACTCCTGTTCTTAGGCTCCTTTGACGATCTAATATTGCCTAGATAAATGTCCATCTTCTTAAAGCCTCCAATCTGCATGCACTTCAATTCTCTATGGATGCTCCTTCGTTCTCACTAACTTATACACATATGCATTTAATTTGAAACAAATCCCTCATTATTGTGTTCTTGCCAATCAGGTCATTGTTTTTTATTTCTAGATCTGAGCTGATTCAGGCCTGTCTGGATTTATTATACAGAGAGTGACATTTTAGTATGCTAGAGCAGAAGAGAGCTGCTTTGTCTGCCTGGAATATCTTTAGGAGGGTATTCTTTGAGTGGCTCCTAGTTGCCAGAGTTTTAATCTCCAGAGCAGCCCAAGAAACTCCAGAGACTTTGCAGCCATCTCAAAAGCTGGGTTTATGAAAATCATTCATTCATGCATTCATCTAACAAGTATTGAAGTATTATTGGCCTGAGACACTTCTGAGCATTTGAGATATAAAGAACCATTAAATCTATCTCTACTTTAAAAAATCTTAGTGCAGTGAAAGAAATTAACTTATAGACATTACAAACATAGTTTAGTGTTGTGATGGCAGATAAGGGAGAGACTATCTCTATTTGTATTCAGAGAAGGAGTCTCAAAAAAAGTAATTTTTTAACCAAGACTTGAAGGATGGGGGTATTAGTCTATTTCTGTGGTTTATAACAAAATACTTGAAACTGGGTGATTTATAAAGAAAATTAAATTTATCGCATACAGTTTCTGAGGCTGGGAAGTCTGAAGTCCAAGGAACACATCTGATGGTGGCAACAGTGAGCCAGGGGTCTCACATTGAAAGACGGTGGAAGCAGAGAGACACTAACCTCTCATGTGCTCTCCTTTTAAATCCTTCAGAGCCACACCCCTGGCCATCATTATTAATTCATTCACTACACCACAGTCCTACAATCTAATCACCTCTTCAAGGCCCCACCTTTCAATTACCCTAACAGTATTTCCCATCCTCAACAGTTACAGTGAGAATTAAGCCTCAGTGAGGTGGTGATAGGGGTGGGTGGGTGTTGGGGATCCAATCTATAGCAATGGGGCAGAGGATGTAGTGTTTCCAAAGTACAGAAACAAAAAAGGGCCTGATATGTCAGGGACAGGCTTCAAACCCACTACGCTGACATGGGGGTTATGATAGGTATGAGAGAAGATGCTGAGTTGCTGTAAGTGGCTTAAAGGAAATTTGAATCTTAATTGTCCCAGTACACGTTTGAGCTTAATATTTTGAGCAATGCATGGACAGTGCATAGCATGAGTGTGACACGGGTCTATGGTTTATATATGTGGCAGACGTGTAGGACTGACTCAAAGGCTATAATAGTCAGGCAGGTGAGAATGAGTGAAAGTCCGAATTAAAGGAAACAGAAGTCGTGATGCAGAACAGTGGTCAGAGATATGTTTATGAGGTGTAATTCAAAGGAATCAGTAATAAATTTCATGAAGGTGGTGAACATAACCAAGGTTTCTATTTTAGTTAGTGATACAGAAGAAATGTGGGTGAGGATGATATTTAAGAATGAAAACCAAAACCAGTGAGTTAGAATTTACACCTGTCACATGATATCTGGGCGATGTCATTTGGGAGGAAATGCCCAGTAGTCACAATTACAAGTCTGTAACTCAGGAGTTTGAGTGTTGTGGATACAGGTGTGATCATTCTTTGTGGTAGGTCAGTGAAAACACTAGGAAATAAACTGAAATGCTAGTGGAAACAAGGTAGGTCCAAATAATAAAAGGCTGATAAGATGTCAGATCCTGATTGTTTTCAGTCCTTGGTTAGCCCAGCTCTCCTGGTCATTTGTGGATCTCTTCTCTTCTTTCTTGTCACCTGCACAAACTTACCCCAAACTTAGTGGCTTAAACCAACACAAATTTATTATCTTATAGTTATGGAGGTCAAAAGTCCAAAATGTGTCTCACTAGGCTAAAATCAAGGTGTTAGCAGGGCTGCATTCCTTTCTGCAGGCTCTAGGGGACAATCTGTTTTGTTGTCTTTTCCAGCTTTTAGAGGCTGCCAGCATTCCTTGGCTTGTGGCTCCCTTCTATCACCAAATGGATGGTGGAGTCTTACATTGTTTCCCTCTGACACTGACTCTCTCCTGCCTTCCTCCTCCACTTATAGGGAACTATAAGGTTGCATTGGGCCTACCTGGATAATCCCTGATTATTTCCCCATCTCAAGGTCAGCCAATTAACAGCTCTTATTCCATCCGCAACTGTAGTTCCCCTTTGCTATATAACCTAACAGACTGATAAGTTTTGGGGAATTAGGATGTGGACATCTTTGGGGAGCCATTATTCTGCTTATCACATCCTGTTTTTCTAATTTTCTCCTACATCTAGGTAAAGAAAGGAGTATTTTCCTCTTCATAGAGGTAGTTACCTGTGAGTTTCAGTACGTACTGGACACAGTAGCAGAGAAAACACAGAATGACTCCATAAGAGATGTATAGAGAAAGGAAAAGTAATTTGTGTTGTGCTATTGAAGGAAGGATCCAGTTACATGGAATTGAGAGCCTTTCAAACCATCTTGGTAAAGGCATGGAACTGCATGGGGGTTATCCTGTTGCCTTAATTTCTTTTTATAAGTTTTTTTAGAGTGAATATATTTTTTATCATTATTCATCATCATCTAATGGGATTTACTTACTTCTTCCCACCCAGAAAAAGTCGTTCTTATAATATTTAATCTCATTAAAATAGGTGCTGTATATATATTTTTTCCCATTTGCAGTGTTTCCTTGCGTGAACTATGTGAAGATGAAGGTGACAATGTTGTCTTAGCATTTGAACAACTGAGTAAAACCTTTATGGGAAAACTTGAAAAAGTCTAAAAACAAAGTCTATGAAAACCACTTAAAATATCACCATAGGAGTTTCACGTGTCAACTTTTGATTCTCCTGTGTTGTGCATCTATGACGAAGAGGAAAGAGCAAGCCCTTTGGACTCAAACAGAGTTGCAGTCCAACCTGCCATGTTCCATCAGAAGTACACTTGGATATATTGTTTACTATATTTGAATGTTAGTTTCTGTTTTTAGTTGAGTATTTACACTTACACCTCTGGTACGTTTGAGAACTGAATGAGAAAATGCAAACATTTTGTATGTATGTGACTGAAGAACAACTTTTAATCTGTGAGGCCTAAAAACATATTATATTCTTAATATTTTTCTTCTCAGTGTCAAGATTTGTAAAAAGCCTTAAAAAAAATTATTATGGTACCCTGAAGGGGAGATATATTCTCTCCAATTAACATAAATGTGATTACAGGATGTAGATATATGCTTATTGAAACACTACCTTCTAGTAAACTTAAACTACTTTTTGAAAATATAAATGAAAAATGTCTATGAAAAAATGCTCAACATCACTAGTCATCAGGGAAATGCAAATTAAAACCACATTGAGATATCATCTTTCCCCAGCTAGACTGGCTATAATAAAAAAGACAGAGAATAACAAATACTGTTGAGGATGTGGAGAGAAAGGAATACTCCTACACTGTTGGTGGGACTGTAAATTGGTACAACCACAATGGAAAACAATATAGAGTTTTCTCACAACTATAGATAGATCTTCTATATGATTCAGCAATACCACTTCTGGGTATATACCCAAAGGAATGGAAATCATCATGTAGAAGGGATACCTGCACTCCCATGTTCATGTCACCTCTGTTCACAATAACCAAGACATGGAACCAACCTAAATGTCCATTGATGGACGACTGGATTAGGAAAATGTGGTACATATACACCATGGGATACTACTCTGCTATAAAAAAGAATGAAATTCTCCCATTTGCAGCAACATGGATGAACTTGGAGAAACTTATGTTGAGTTAGTAAGCAAAGCACAGAGGGATAAATACTGTATGTACTCACTCAAAAGTGGGAGCTAAGAGAGAAAGAAGGAAGGAAAGAAAGACCACAGTGGTGCACTGGACTTGCAGAGGGAGGGAACATACCTGGGGATACAAAGTGGAGTGGGGAAAGGGGGATGGGGGGAGGTCGGAGATAATTGGGGGGATAATTGGGTGGGGGACACAGGGTATAACCACAATTTGTGGTAATGGGCATGCTGCCAGTATGTATCTGGCTTTCACATCTTAAGCACGAGTGGTGATAATTGTTTTGTACCCCATGAATATTTATAACCAATAAAAATAAATAAATAAATAAAAAGAAAATATAAATGAGAGCTTTGGTATCACTTTTGTGATGCTTTAAAAGAAAACATATTGCTCATGATTTGCTTTATTTTAGTTGTATTTGTTTAATTGTATATGTGACTGGAAAATCACAAATAAATAAAATGGTTTAATCTGTTTACTTGGTCTCATTGTGTTAAATCCATGCATCTGTCAATCCATTTGCACACATTTATGCACTATATATATAATAGTTTGTATATAATCATTTTCACTCTCTAGCCTCAGACTCAGATCATAATTCTAGAATCTATTTTCCACCCTAAACTTGAACAAAGAGCATTCGTCCTCAGAGCAAAAGGTCTGCTCTCTCCTACTACCCACAGGTCTTACTGAAAGATGATCTTTTGTATGACATTATTTATAAATAGATTTCATTGATTTGGAAAAACACCCATGGTTCATTTTGTGTAGATGCAGAAGAATGCTCTGATCCTTAGAACCGACTCATCATTTCATGTGCCATGTTAAAGGTCTGTATTTTCTTTGGGCTAAGCCCATTTTCATTATTTAAATACTACACTGGTTTCCTTTTTTAGTTACCAAGACACTTGGAAACTAAAGTGGTTTTTTACTGCCTCTTAATCTCTACTCAACAATGATACACAATATTAAGATATTGTCACATTTGATTCTACCCCCTACTTGTAGTTTCATGAGTCTGATTGTGACACGCAGATTTTTTCCCCCAAATGACTGAGCCAGTCTTCCTATTTTTTAGGAGGAGAATAAGACTATTTCTTGCAATCTGGAATCTTAAAAGAGGGGAGTTATGCCTATCCTCCTTGAGGAGGACTCAATGGGCAGCTTCCTTTTTGACTTTTAGCAACAATTTTAAGGATAACCTAGAACAACTTAGGAAGAGTGAGTTTACACATAGGAACTCTGAAAGCATTTTATGTTCCATTTATAGTAATAATGTGGACTTTTTCTTTCTGAGAAACATGTGCAGAGACCCTGGTGAGATTTACTGTTCTATTAGACTGTTTTCTGTCTTTAATAACAGAATACCTGAAATTAGGTAATTTGTAAGAAAATGAAATTATTTCATACAGTTTTGGAGGCTAAGAAGTCCACAGTCCAGTGGGTAATTAATCCATTCATGGGAGTGGAGTCGTCATGATCTGATCACCTCCTACAGGCCTCACCTTTCAAATACTGTAATCAGATTTCCCAGCCTCTTAACACTGTTACAATGGGGATCAAGTTTCCAACACATGAATTTGGGGGGGACACATTCAGCCCATAGCAACTACTGAATTATTATGTCCACAATTTGTTCCCATTCTTTTCCCAAGAGAGGGAAAAATCATATTGGCATTGGGCCTTTAAAAGGTCTCCTAAAATAGCTAGTTATTAAATTATTTATTTTGAAAAAATTGTTGATGCATATGTAGATGGAAATAATACAGAGATCCCATATAGCCTTTGCCTGTTTTCCCATATTGTAACATCTTACATAATTATAGTGTAGTGTAATATCAGAACCAGGAAATTGATGTTAAGTAATCCATTATCCATATTTCATCAGTTTTACATGCACTCATTTGTGTGTGAATGTTTATAGCATGTGTAGATTTCTGTGTCTACCATCACAGTCAAGATACAGAATTCCATCACAAGAATCCTTCTTGCTTTTCTGTAACCACACCCACTTCCCTCTCACTGCCGCCCCACCCCTACCCCCATCCCTTCCCACCCACTACCACCCTCCTCCTTAACCTAGCAACCACTAACTGTTCCCTACTTTTGCAGTTTTTTTTCAAGACCTATATAAATGGAATCATATAGTATGTAACCATTTGAGATATGCTTTTTTTCCACTCAACATAATTCCCTTGAAACCATATACCAACAGTTTGTTCTTTTATTAATGAATAGTTATCCATGGTATGGCTGTACCACAATTTGCTTAACCATTCAACCCATCAAAGGACATTTGGGTTGTATCCAGTTTTTGATTATGCTATAAATATTCATGTTTCTTCTGTTTGTCATTCTCCTGTTTCTTTTTTCTTACCTTTTTGTGAATTACAAAAGTTCAGAACATTTTTAGGATTCCATTTTGATTTATTTATAGTGTTTTGGGGTATATTATTATGGACAGTTTTCTTGGTGATTGCTCTAGGTATTGCAATATATATGTCTTAGTTCATTTTCTGTTACTATGGGTGATTTATAATGAACAGAAATTTATTTGGCTCATGGTTTTGGAGGCTGGGAAGTCCAAGACCATGGCACTGGCAGCTGGCGAGGGCCTACTTATTATGTGGTAACGTGGGAGAAAGGCATCACATGGTGAGAGGGCAAGAGCAAGTCAGCCTAGGTCTCTTCCTTTTCTGATAAAGCCACCAGTCCCATTCTAGGGGCCACATCCTGATGACATTATCTAATCCTAACTATCTCCCAAAGGCCCCACCTCCCAATATGAGGATTATATGAATTTGGGGATTAAGTTTCCAACACATAAAATTTGGGGGACTTTCAAATCATAGCAATACACATTTAACTTATCACAGTCTACTGGTATCAAGATTTTACCACCTTATTTTTACTTAGGTCCCTTTGTCCTCTCCACCTTTGAAATATAATTATCTTTTTTTTTAATAAATGCAAAAATGTCTTTTATTTTTTTATTTACTTTTTAAAGGTCAAAATTTGTTTAATCAAATAAGCCTTTTCCTAGAAAAATATTGTCCTGGTTTGTTTTCAAATACATGTAAAATATCAGCTTTTAAAAATTTTTTTATTTATATATTTTTTTACTATTATTGTCTTATTATACATACATGTGGGGTACAACGTTGATTTTCAATAATTGTATAGAATGTCATCAGTATAGTTAGCTTATTCATCATTACAATACTCAATCATTCTTTGTGTCCATTGACCAGTTCCTCATCAGCCCCCTGCCCTCTCCCCCTCCCCTCCCCTTTTCCACTCTAGTTTTCTGAAAGTTCAATGTGTTACTGTGATTGTTGTTTCTTTCTTTCTTTCTCTCTGTCTCTCTTTATTGTTCATTTGTTTCTTTATGGATTCAGCTCCCGGTTATGAGTGAGAACATGCGGTATTTCTATTTCTGTACCTGGATTGTTTCACTTAAGAATAATTTTCTCCAGGTTCATCCATGTTGCTACAAATGTAGAATTTCCTTCTTTTTTATAGCTATAATTATCTTAAATATTTCCTCTCTATATTATATATATATTTCCTCTATATATTGAGCACCACATCAATGATGTTAAAAATTTTGCTTCAACTATCAAACATGAGTTAAAAAGCTTATAAAAAAATATTCTATTACACTTAACCCTATTTTTTTTTTACTCACTCTTATTTTCTTTTTTTCTTTCTGAAGTTCCGAGCCTTCTTTTGTAGTCGTTTCCTTTTTCTTTAGAGAATTTCCTTTTCCATTTGTTAAGAATGGGTTTGCTTGTGAGAGATTCTCTTCATTTTCTTTCATTGGAGAGTGCTTGTTTCCTTTTCATTCCTAAAAAATATTTACACTGGATATAGAACTTATGTTATGATTGACAATTTCTTAAAAAAATTTAGTTCTAGAAAAATGTTTTGCTTCCTCTCACTTTTATAGCTTCAAATGACAAACTGGTGTTCCTTTATCAGTTATGCATTGTTTTTTCCATGCTTTCAATATTTTTTCTGTCTTTAGTTTTTAGAAGTTTAATTACGATGTTTCTTGGCATGGCTTTTTAAAAAATCTTATTTGGGGTTCACTTAGCTTCTTCAATCAGTAGGTGTATGTCCTTTGCTAAATTTGGGGATTGTTAGCCATTATTTCTTTGAATACCTTTTCAGTTCCACCTTTTTTCCAATCCTTCTTTGCCTCCTATGACATGAAAATTAGCTCTTTTGTGTTGTCCCACAAGTCCCTAAAACTGTGTTGTTGCTGTTGTTTTTCAGTCTAGTTTCTCTCCGTGGTATTCAGATTGGGTAAATTTCATTGACCTATCTTCAAGATCACTGATTCTATCCTATGTCATCTCCACTGTAATGAACCCATGAACAAATTTTTAAAATCTTTTATTG